CTCCCCCGCCCCCCCCCCCCCCCCCCCCCCCCCCCCCCCCCCCCCCCCCCCCCCCCCCCCCCCCCCCCCCCCCCCCCCCCCCCCCCCTGGGATACGATGCCGGAAGGCTGGCGAACAGAAATTTGGGGATGGGTTTCTCAGCTGAGGTTCATCAAATAACATGTGCTTAGTGATGAAACAGAAGTAGTTATGTAGAGTTTGAAGTAGGATTCTCACTTTCAAGATTCCGGTGGCCAGGGGAGGGAATTCTCGCTTTGTAGAAGACAAGAGTCTTTCACAATCTTTTCCATGAACTTCCAGCCGCTGCAAGTACATAGGCCGACGTTTCTTCACAATTCCACTAACGGGAATGGGCATTGTCACTACATCAACAGTTGCACACTCTAGACAAACGGACAAAAGTGACGATCAATGCCACGCATTCAAGAGCGCTACAAAGTAACTGCAGCTTCCCAGACCATCGCATCTCCTTCAGGGGCTGTCATACGGTAAAAGACTAGAATTAAAACAAAGGAGTGCTTGCTGTTACATTCGTATTTTCTAGACAGGCCGATATGAATCTCAATTGCTGCGTCCTCCACAACGTGGGGAGCTGGGACTGTTGCCATGCGTTTGAAGAATGGTCATTGCCTCAGCTTCAACAGACAAGAAAGAAAGATGCGCAGCAAACGAAATATGCAGTCTGCCGAACACCGAAGTGTCATACATAACTCCGCCGTAGGCATCTAGCTACCTCTGGCTATCTTTCATTCACATGACGGAGCTACCGGAACTGCTGCATAGCAGCGCTAGCAAACGCTTTCTCAACTGCATTGGACGTGCATTTGTGTTTGGGAGCCAAACTTCCGCGGCCACTCTCACCTTTGTCTGCCACTAGCATAGTACATGACCCTGCATTACCGGCGCCATGTCTCCAAGCTACTATGCTGTAGGTGGAATACACTCAACAGATACTACTGTCCAATATGGTATGAGCTGGCAAGCATGGTAAAGTCTAGATAATACTACATGAGGAAGTAGTAGAAAATATATTAATACATGTTTTATATTGCAAACGCCGCCGCCATCCTAATGCATTCGAATGATCAGATACTAATGAAAATCTCATCTCACTCCCACCCCAATCTCACTCTTCTCTTCACTTCCCAACATTCACCCCTCACATCTCACCCCGCACTAATCTCATCTCATCTCATCCCACTCACTCACTCACCCACCTCACACCTACTCCACCCAAACCGTACTCTCCTCAACACCATCCCGCCCCATCTGAACCCGATTCACGCGCGCACCCGCGTCCTCAAATCCCACCGCAATCCCACAAAGCACCACCAACCCCTCCCCAATCCCAACGACCTCCCTCACGACCTCAGCATACCCAGAGATGCTAATCTCCACACAACTCCCCACCCCGACCTCCGTCAGCGCAAGCAATAACGTCTGCACATACATGCCCACGCTGAACGCCTCGGTGCCCACGAGGTCGCTACTCATGCACACCACGATCCCCACCGGCGCCCCGAAGAACTCGAAGTTCCGCATCACTGCCTCGCGACGCCCTTCCGCGTCGTCGCGCGCGAGACCCCAGCCGTCGCCGTATAATGTCCTGCCGAGCGCGGCGCGGTATTTCGCGAACGGCGCCGGATGAGGGGGGATCGAGGGGGCTGAGAGCGCTGCGGCTGCGAGTAAGGCCGTGTTGAGCCGTATTAGGGCGTCGTCTTGGACGATGAATAGACGCCAGGGTTGCGTGTTTGTGTTGGAGGGGGCGTGTTGTGCGAGGGAGAGCGCGCGGGTGAGGTGGGCGCGCGGTACGGGGCGGGGGAGGTACAGACGGGATGAGTGGCGCGCTAGAATCGCTTCTGAGACGGACATGTGCTTTGAGCCTGAGGATGGTGCTGAGGCGGGGATTTGCTCGTCTTGTTCTGCGAGGGCGATTGCTGAGTCGGTGCTTTTGGGACGGGCTGGTGGGTTGAGGGATGTGGTGAGTTTCATTGTTGGTGACATGTTCTCGTAGGCAGGTAAGTATGTGTATGTATATGTGTGTATTGCTCTTGATATACGGTATGCTATTGTAAATGAGAGCTCTTGAGAGATCGTACTGTATGTATTTATGAATGCAAGAAAGCAAGATCCTGAATTGAAAGTCTATTCGCAATTGTATTCTTGTCCTGTTCATTAACCAAAGTAATTATCCTCGATGTCTTGCTCATCATTTATTTATACACAACCCAACCCTCTAATAATCTCTGGTATTCAACACCTCGGAAAGTCATCATCTGAACCCCCCGACGCACTGATTTCATTCCGAGATCAACTATAAGACCGACTGTCGCCGGTAGGGCGTCGTTCGGAGTTGCGACGTAGGACAGCTCATAAGCGAATTTACATAAGTAAGCAACGAAACAGCATCTCCGGCAAAAGGGTGTCTCCCTCGACTAATCATTACAAATCGCCTGGGACAAAATGAGGCACCCACACCAAACAAAGAAACGAATGCAGTGTGTGTAGTATTCCCAGACCAGCCAGATCTTATTTCCCCGCGGCTTTGAAACGGCCAGGCAGCTTGCCAGATACGATACTGCTTGCAGGCTGCTTGCCTTCCTGGGGCCGTTTTCTCCGCGGTACCTCGTTAATCCGGCAATGAGACTTTTTGGGGGGAAGGGGGCCACTATATGGGCTGGTTGCAATGCGACGGTAACCCAGTGTGACCCGTGAACCATCAAGGCGGAATGGCCGTCAACTCGGACACGGATATGACCCCCAATTATACCCCGACAGCATACTGTAAGGTTGCTACCGTTCAGTTGCATCGCAAACTAACGGTCCAATGGGGGCGATGTGAAATAGTATCAGAAGATGGCATGATTCAACAAAGTCACATACTGCAACATAAGGAACTAAACATTTCTGGAATTTCGGATAAAATATGCCAAGTTTCTTGAAATTGACATCCTATACCAAGATATGGTATCATTCGACTATTGCTAGTGCTAATCCTTTCTTTACCTATCCTCATCATTCATAAGCCATGCCCTATCCTAATCCCGGACCTCGAACTTGAAACCCAAGGAAAACCCATTAAGTGGATAGGTGGGGGTATCTATGTACAACGCCTTAGATACTTGGAAATGCCTAGGAGCCAGCCCAGGCTGTTCATAGATGGCATAGAAAATTTAGCATGCGCCATATCGCACACCCCGCTTACCCAACTCCTTCCTACCGACAGGATCTTCTGGTAACACCCAACCCCTAGCGCGCTTAGCTTCCCGCTTCTCGGCAAGTTGTGGCTGTGGCATCCAATCGTCACGAGCTAGTGCCTTGCGACGAGTCCCCTCGGCAGGGGCGCCGATTTCAGCTTTCCACGGCGCATGTCCCGGTGTTGGCTCATCGCCGGCCAACATGCACAGACCCCAAAGTGCAAGGCATGCGGTGAGTGGAGTGGTCTCATCTTCACCGTCAACGTCGGACCCCGCGGCGGCGAGCTGTACGCTGGTCACTTCTAGATAGCCGAAGTGGGGCGTTCCTTCAGCGCCATTACGGACCAACACCAGCTCAATCTCAGTGAGAATGAAGCCGTAGCGGGTGCCGTGCTCACGCATTACATGATGCAAGTGGGCCAGTCCGCGCAAGTATTCCACGCGCTTGATGTTGCCTTCAACTCGCATTCCAGTGTTGAATCGGTCAAAGGATTTGACTAGTCCTACGACCCGGGCAGTTGGCTTTCCACCGAAGATGGCGGCTGCCGTTGACGACTCACCGGCCAGATTGGCAACAATGAGGTGGTCGTTGGGTGATGATGGGGTGTGTTTTGTGCTGGGAACTGAGAACTGAAGAGCCCTTTGTGATGAGATCGCGAGAGCCGAGTTGAGCTTGGGGATGTAGTAGGATGCGTAGATGTTGTGCAATGCTGCCTCTGTCTCAGGATGGCGCGCATTGGTAGAAGGTTGGGGAAGAAGGGGGGCCGGGACGGGGCAGTTGAGGAGGGCAGAAGCGCCGGGCAAAGAGAGAATGGTAGTAAGGTTGAAAGCGGACCATTGGCGGATCTGCCGCACATCCCACCAAAAGTGCTTGGTGTTGGGGTCCCGAAGAGGGAATGAGATAGACCGGACCAATGAAGGGGCCGGGTTGGATGTGGTCAGATAGCTCATGAGGGTTGTGGATGGCGTGGGGTCCGGCGTTGAACACAAGCTGAAGGGTGAAGGGGCCCTAGGCGCATATCCATACATGAATTGCTCAGCTTGAGGTGGTGACTGCGAAACGGCTGGGGTATATGAAGGCATTTGGCGGTAAGTAGCGAAGCTGAAATTATCAAGCCCGAAGTTTTCGGGTCCAGCGCTGGATGCGCGCTGGGCCTGCATATTGTCCTGCGCATAGGAGATTGGTGAGCCGAGGAGAGAAGATGGAAAAGCGACTTGTTGGTCTTCGACTGGGCCGAAGAAAGAGTTGCTGAAGCTCAGCGACTCCGGGTTCGTGAAGCTCCGAGTGTGAGTTGGGCGGATGCTCGCTTTCCGTGTAGGCTTAGGGACAGAAGCAGCAGGCGATCTCCTCACACGCTTGGCGGGGGATTCGATAGTCTGGTCTTGAGAGCGAATCTTGGGTAGTAAGATAGGGCCATGTTGGCGAATTGGTGGCGGGGAGCGCGCAGGTGTAGTGACGCGCGTGCTAACCGAGTCGGAGGGCGACGTCTCGGCGGTGGAACATATTGAACTATACGAGCCTGTGCGAGCATGCCCGGGATTGTATTGAATCTCAAGCAGAGACGGATCAAAGGAAAAGCTCGGCGGGGTGACCGGCTCGCAAGAAGGGAAAGTGAAGTCAAAAGACATGTCTGCTGCCAGACTATTCACACTCTCATGTCAGTATGCCGCTATTCACGAGGCTCTCTGGGGCGAGAGTGAAGGTAACAGTGAAGATATACATACGGAGCCATGTCTGCTGTGGGCAAGGACGTTGTCTCGTCAACCAGGACAAGAACGAACGAACTGACTATAGAATTATTGGAAGAGAGTGAAGGGGGAGAACCAGCTCCACCGAGGCAAGATGTCTTAACGCCTAGAAATATGTATGAAAACTGTCGATGGCAAGATCGGGTGGATGAGATCACTCTGCAGCAAGGAGAGAGGGAACTGGAGTCTTGGTAGAGGAGACGACGGCGTCGAGATGGATAAGAGTATGGGTCTATGAGACAAAGCAAGGAAACCGAGAATAGGAAAAAGGAAACAAATGTATTGGTCTACAGATGAAACTGAAGAACGAGAATGGCAAGGGAAAAGTTGAGGACTGGGGGAGGAGGAAGTCGGTCCTCTTATCCTCGGAGCGGGATGGACAGGTCACGATGGGCCGCATGCAAATCACCTACTTACCTAGCCTACCGACCTGGCGTACTACTACGAAGTAGCAAGGAGGTTCCAGTCGAGCACACAAGCCGCACGCAAGCCGCAGACCAGCAGACCAGCAGCCGGCGGCGATGACGGATGACGGATGATGGCTCCCAGTTGCAGCAAGCAGAACCTGAAACATGGGGTATCTCGAGCAATTGGCAGACTAGCAAAGGGAAGAGCCATGTAAACATGTTTCCCACGCATGCGCGAGTCGGCCTAGTGCCGCCCTTGGGTCTGGCGGTCGAGGCATTGGGCCGACGGGCGATGGCGGTTGAACCAGAGAGCGAGGAAGACGAGGTGAGGTGAGGTTCGACAAAGATGCGATGGGGTACGTAAGTACATAGGTAGGTACCGAAATAGACGGGCGGGGCGGCGGGGTACCTCGACCGGGGTGGTCAGATACGAGCCGTGATGGGCACTCGAGCCCACGGCAGCAAGTACCCGTCCAAGTACCAGCGGCAACGGTGGGGCCAATCAGCTACCTACTCTACTACGTGAGGGACCCACTGCACACAGAGCTTGGCGTTTATCGAGGTACCTATGTACTATTATATTCATTCATGTGTATGTATTATGTATACCTATGCATGCATCTAGGGCTTCTGTCAAGGTAGGGTAGGGTAGCAAAAGCGATGGTAACCTGGCCATTGACGATGGCGAGGTTCTTTTCGCCTTGTCAAGTCCCCATCCAGTCTCCCTTGAATCGTATTGTTTGTCACTGTTAGCGTAGCCAATAAAAGGCAAAAATAGCATACAAAATAGCAGTAAAGTAGCAGCAGCACCAGCAGATACATATTTCTGATGCCGGGTCGTCATCGTGACCCCAGCCATCTCAGTACCCAAGGTAGGATATATCGTCATGTCAGTCCATCCCTACATAGACAGCACTGCCGTGTAAGTGACATGTACCACCTCCATGTATTACCATCAGTCACTTCATCCAAGTACTAAATACGTAGTACCCAGGTTTGATGGTGCGGGTAGCGTAGAGTAGGTAGTGTAAGTAGTGTAGTGCAAGTGGTCAGAAGTTTGTAGTTCTGAGCTCTGTCGTGTATCCATCCAAACTGCCCGCCTGTCCACCCGTGACGCCACCAACGACACTAAGCACCTTCAGGCACAGGACCTGGCAAAACCCATACCCAGCTTCTCTTCTCATGTCTGTCTCAGCATGCTTGATACTCATTAAACCCAGGTGGCAAGGCATACTAGAGTGTCTAAGTACGGTACAGTAAGTAAGTACTGTAAAGTTCACTGAGCAACTAACTCCCAAGCAGAGGGTACCTAAGGGTTAACCTCTTCCTCCCCCGTCTGCCCATCGACGCGGGAATTGCCCAAGCAGACAGACCCAAGGCCACGTTCGGGCCTACAACGCAACGCTCCAGCCCGAACCGGGGCTGCACGGGCTGCACGCAACGCATTAGGCCAGCTCTCGGCCAGCTCAATTCGAGCCCCATCGAGCCAAGACTCGAGCGCCATTCCTCCTCTGGGCCTCTGGGCCCTCTCTGGGGGCTGCTGCAAAGACCAAAGACCGAGAAACAGGGCGATCTTCAACAACGAGTGGGCACACCCGGTGGCACGATGCATCATCGGTTGATCTCGGTTGGGTACTTACAGTACTTACAATCCTGCCCCAGAGCTGCCCCAATTGAAGAACGCCTCCATCAGAATTGGTCGTGTGGTCTGTAGTCGTGTAGTCGTGTAGCGTGTCGCGTGTTGCGTGTTGGTAGCGTGTAGGTTAGTTGTCCCTAGGGTAAATCCTGTCTCTCTCTAATACGACGATTCCACTGACCGACATCACTTCGATGACTCACTCGTAGATCCCTCGATGGTAGCGTACATGTAGAGTATGCGGTAGGTAGGGTAGTGTAGACTCATGGATTATAGTGTACTACCCACGTTGACTAGACTAGACCAGGTCCAGGTAGGTAGGATCCTAACCTGGGATCACATATACCGACTACCTACAGTACTTCCCAGTCGAGGGCGGAACATTTAGTAGTGGATGGACGCATGTCTTTGATGTCCGCATTAGCTAGCGAGAGTGCTCTGCGAGTGGGTTTTCTATCTGTCTGCATGGGTCTGGCGTGGGCAACGGTATACCCTTGATCCCGTCAATCCTCCAAAAAAACTCAATCGTCAATCAACCCTGCCAAGCGCCAACACGGATGTGGGGAAAACTACTCGCGCTACCCAGCCCGTCAGCACTCAACTCGCCTCTCTCAATTCCTTCCTGAAGGGCATTTGCCCGCTATCCCCCCCCCAATACTTACTTATGCTGCTGAGTGAGCAGTGCGTCGCGCTCGGAACACACGATTGTCCCCCAACCAACAACGCGCGGGGATATGCGTCGACGGAAATGGCGAATGTACGCGGCGGGTGCACGCTGCAACACGCCCACGTCTGCACCGCCCGCGACGAACGAGATGGCGACACACGACTCTCATGCACTGCGATGAGACTCTGCTAGGAGTCTATTATGCTCACCTGATGCACGCACTATAACGAAGTGAACGCACTGCACAGAGTTATCCCATCGCTTTAGGTAGGTAGATATGTATAATGCCTATAATACATATAATACATACCGACTACCTATGTAAGTATACATATGTAGTGTAGTCCAGCGTGGCAATGCTCGCTCGGAATCTGGGGTTCTCTTGTCTCTTTCTGCTCCGTCTCGTCTGAGCATCGAGGGATCAGTCAATCTGATTAATCTCGAACGCCATCACCACGTCTTTCCGCCCTTGCTTTGCTTGCTTACTAGGTAGCTGGCTAGCTACGTAGCCAGGGCAAGGTAGATAGATTAGATTGGCAGTATAGTATACTCTCTCAGATCATCTCTCCCTGCTTGTTTATTTTTAATTCTCTCTCTTTTTTTTTTGCCTACCTACATCAGCTACTTCCGAGGTCCTACAGCATACAGATACAATCTCCATTTCTTCGTCGGTGCGGCACGTCGGGATCCGGGCGTATAGAAGCAGAAGCAGGCTTGCTTGCTTGCTTGCTAGCTAACTCCCAGAAGTCGCAGGCACGCAGGCCCACTGGCGGGCGAAAAAAAAAAAAAAGGATTGAATGCGACGTATATCGTGTACATAGGAAAGCAATATTGAAAATGATCGACAATCGCAACGAACCAGGGGAGGGTTCTTTTCTTTTCCCTATTCCATGTTCCGTTGGTCGGGACCCTGGACCAGCGCGCTTGCGCTTGATCTGACATGACATGACATCGGGTTCAACACCGTAGTACCTACTGTATAGGCAGTGTAACGATATATGCCATCCTCGGTACGGTTGCATTCTCCATACAAATTGGGGGAAAGGTATTGGGGGCAGTGCGGTCTCGGCTCGTGGAGATGGCGAGCGAACGAACAACATGAGATGAAGCGGAAACAGAACAGCCACAAGCGCACCGCCTTCACCCTATCGACGCACAATATCGGTAGAAGTGTTCGATAACAGGTGCAGCTCTAGCAGCCTGCCATCTCATCCGCCGGAATTCGGAGGGTCCGGATAGCCGCCTGGCTTAGCTACCTGCTAGCAACTTCTAGGTAGTAGTAGTGGTGGTGGTGGTGGTGGTGGTTCATTGTCTCTCTACTCGGCTTCTTTTGGGGCTAATTTGTCTAAGAACTACCCGCATCGCTTACTTATTCTTGAGTCTTGACAGTTTAGTTAAACGCGGCGGCTATTGTCATGTGTCTACACCGCATGAGGAAAGATGAGCATCGAGATGCCGATCCGATTAAGCGCCGGCGGGAAATCGTAGGTATTGCAAATACATAGTAGGCCTGGCATTTACTATCTATCACTACCAGATAGGTACTGTATGTAGTATGGGAGATTACTATGGCACTATATTCTATACAATTTCTATACACGTTCTATACACTGGTGCATGCATTATTCGATCGACAGCTAGGATACCCATTCTCAACTAGGCGTATTCTATGTAGACTACTTACAATTAGATAAGCCTAATATCGTCAAGGTGAAAGGCATCAAAGGTATCGTGTAAATGAATTACCAAGTACTGGGCAGTGTGCACGGAGGATCTACAAGCCGTTAAGAATGGTCAGTGCTGAATACCACCTCCAGGGTGGCCGTCTTCAACAGATCCCCTGCCCCCCGAAGGCTAACCAGTCAGCCGGAGGCGGGGACACAGACATCGGCCGAAACATGTCCACGAAACGCTCGAATCCACCGCAAGGTTAAACATCAATTATCGCATAGGAAATAGCGAAAGAGGGAAGAATGCCTTAGTCGCAGAATGATTAATTAAGGGGTCCTTGGGGGTTTGTTACATAAGCCCTCGTTGTCCGCCGCCGCCGCCACCTCCGCTATGCAATCTCTGACATGTCGAATTGACAGCTGATGCCATCCAAACCACCATGATCCTGCCTCGTGACAGACTCTGAAGCCCTTTTCTCTCCCTCAAGCCGCTAGCGCAGTGCACCTATACAGTACAGTGCTGTGCACCTACATCAAACTTCCTCTGATCCCTTCTCGCCTCTTTGCCTCTCTTTTTGCTCCCTCTCCCTTCTCTTCACTAAAAACGCAATCAAGGGCAGACAGACAGGCAAGGAACACAAGCGCCGGTCACGCAGGCGTCGGGCGCGTAAGTCACCCACCACAAGCGCTTCGAGAGCGACGAAGGGCGGCCGTCTCAGCCTCTCATTGGCCAATTTGCACGCGCCCTACCTACACTCGATTTCCTATTCGAGCAAAAAGTGAGGAGCAACCGACCGATCGACCAACCCCAGCCAGCCCAACGCTGCCCACCCAAAATGGTCTGCAGGCTAAATGTATACGTAATTGAAGAGGGAGGAGAAGAGGAGGAAAAGGACAAGAGAATAATTTTTCAATTCCAAATTCTTCGACTTCTTCATTTCTTCCCTGTCAAGACCCGAGAACACCATAGCCAGCCAGCAAAGCAAGCAACAGAATACCTAGAATCAAAAAAGTGTCCCGTGCGCTGCTTTTCTTTTCTCTTTTCCCCTCACTGCCACGGACTCCATCTCCACTTAATTCTTTTTTAAGTAAAAGTTATCTTCCGGATGTGGGTAAAGCACGCGGAGTGCGGAGCAGGGAGAATACTACTAGTGAACGGGTGCTAATAGTGAGGACTCGCGTATTAATGTAGGTAATGTAAGTACTGTAGGTATTGAAAAGAGAGAGAGAGAGAGCTAAGACGGAGGGGATAAAAGACACGCCGCGCTGCGCGACGACGACGACGACGCCTCGCACCCGCGCAGACCAATCGGCACGCTCCACACACCGCGTTGAACGTGTCGGGCGCGCATCCCATTTCTCATTGGCTCTGTGTCGGGCATTGGCATACCTATGTAATCGACTTACTTACCGTAAGTATGACTGGACTTGATCTCCAGTTCGTTTCTCTCTCGGCTACCCTTGCATCGTTCCGTCTAGCTAGGTAGCGTCGCGTAGCGTGAGCATCCAAGGTAGGTAGGGAATAACTACCTAAGTAGATAACCTAAACCTACCTGGTTGGCTGCATCTCATCTAGTCCAGTCACCTCAGTGCTAGCGCAGCGAAGGGCTGTCGACGTTTCAGATTTTTCTTTCCTGTTCCCGTAGGTTCGGTGCAGCGTGGCCAAGAGCGAACAACGAAGTTAAAGTCCAAGCCAAAAGACAAGGGAAGGGGGGGGGGGGGGGGGGGGGGCACAAAAAAAAAAGAAAGTCCCCACCGTTTTTTAAATAAGTTAAATGGCCCACGCCCGTGTCCTACAGCCGCGGGAAAAACAAACAACCAACCGAACTGCCCCA